AACGTTTTCTCCGTATAAATAAATAAAAAATTTATAAAATTACATATTTTATAATGTTTTCTTAATTTTACTCATCTTTTCTTAATTTTGTTCATCATTTCGTTATTATGCGTAACATAATATCTAACGTCGTGACTTTTAAAGATATGACATAATCAAGTGGAGATTACGCTAATCGACACAAACATTTATCATCGTTGAGTGAGATAATTGGAAAGCATCTGTCCCGAAGGCTTAACCGTGCTTTGTTAATACTAGTAAGACGTAACTTACAGGCAGTTCGCACGAATTATGCAAGATATTATATTTGCACCTTATAAGGTTGACCCGGCTATACACTCATCCATTGAACGCACACTTATTAAGCCTGTTTCGCTAAGAGGAGTCTGCCGTATTAAGCCAAACCCGACAAATTGCTTTCTCCACGGTTAACCAACTACGTCCACCAACTACGGCGCGAGTCTGAGTATGCGAATTATGGCACCTGCTTTTTTTCTGTCAAAGATGAGCGTTACGTAGAGAATCGATTCCTCTTATGAAATGGAATTCTTCCCGAATTTCATGTTGTTCTGAAGCTCTATTATATTGTGACACACATACACACACACACACACACACATACATATACACAATAATTTCATTGAAATATAATATATGAGAAATATTTTAAACAAACAAAGTAATAGAATAACACTTTAAAATATGAGACATCAGCAATAATGCTATTTATAGGCAATAGATTCTTCATGTATTTAATACATAATAATACATTAAAGAAAGACATGATTTTTAAGAAAAACAAGAATGTAACTTTAAATGTATATGTAATAGTAACGCATATATAATACATTCCACTTTATTTTAATTTCTTCTTCTTCTTTTTCTTAGACGTCTGATCTGTGCTACATCTCTTTCTTATGCTTGAGATTGCGCACGCTAATTATTCAGTTGCCACGAGTATATTACTTTAATTTATTTTTATATATATAATTATTTATTTATTCATATTTTGTTTACATTTTGTTTAATTTTTATATAAACGATTATATGAAATATTACATTAACTTTTCCGGATTCGTTTTAGCACGCGCTAACATTTGTTACATTACCTGCTTTCGTAATATATTCTGTAATAGTAGGCGAATATTAATGATACAGCATGAACCAGCTGTTACAAATGGTCATATAATCACGAGAGATCATGAGAATTATTAACTTGTGAACTTATTGAACTTGTTGAATCTCTTTATCGTCCGTATTTTACAATCAATATTCTATCAATAATGTAATTATATATTAATGGACACTATTGATTTGATAATCAAGCCATTACAAAACATGTAATGTGACTATTGGTTAGACATTACCAAGACTTTTTATTGCCATGTATACATTCTTTACATGAATATCGTTCAGAATATTAATTCGATAATATTCCGATGTAACCTCTTTAGATATAACAGTTCCTATTAAATCCTTGACATTTATTTAACAGGAAAGGTTACTACATAATTTGCATATAAAATCCGACAAATATTCGAAAACATTATTGAAATAGAATCTACTTATTTGTGAAAGTTATAAATTTGTTAAATATTCTTAGGATAGGATTTAATTAAAATCATAAAGATTTTTCGTGCTTTAAATCACCTTCAACAAAAATTAATATAAATCTTTTATTAAGTAATTATTATATCAACTGAAATACCCTGGGGTTATATAGAAAGTTTTTAATTACTTGTTGTGTTTTTAATTATTATAATAAAATCTACTTCTATAAATGGCATGTGCAACACTTTCTGGAGGGCCTTTTCATTTATCCGCGCAATTTCCTCAGAAAGATCCGCACAAAAGAAATTCTATACAAATTATACGTCGCGATTTGATCAATTTTCTTCCGTGTGTCCATTAGCGACAGTCGCGTGATTAGAAATTTTAACACTCGATTGCGTTGCGTAACACATTTTACACGACTATACATCAACCCAATGAGAAAAAGACCATCGAAGTCCATGTCACTTATCGGCCGGCATCTCGCAGACTCTCGCTTTCTCCAAATGTAAATGAAATATCTAAAGATACTTTGTGAGAGTGATCAATTGTTTACTTAATCTGCACGGATCACACCTATCGCATAGCGCTGAATAAATTAGGATAAACATACTACCGGGTGTCCGCACTTATTATTATGCTCTAATAATTGCCCTACTTGTCACGTACAGCGAGAGAATCGTTTGAGATAAAAATGATGCCTCTGTGTACCTGCACAACGGAGTTTCGAAAGCTTCTTTACGTGTTATTGCGTGGCGTTTTAAATTTAAATGATCCCTCAAGACTCTTGAGAAAGCGCAGCCTCCTCCTCTTTCTTAAAGTCTTTGGAGTATCCTACAGTTACAAGAATAAGATGATTACTCATGTCACCGGTAAATGGTTTGCAAAATAAATCCCGTCATAAATTCCATCAAAGATAACTTCTAGCATTCTGCAGGAGCAAAAAGGGAAGGGATGGTCTATACTTTACAAATCACGATTCTGTCTTTTTCGCGAAATATAATATTAATATTTTGCAGACAGTTGCAAGGCACTTTGCAAGAATATTGTTCGCGAGTTCCTTTACATTTCCATAACTGTGTAATTTTCAGAGAGACTTGAACTTATACCGGCTGCAATAAACGGACTACTTCCTATACAAAGTTTTCATTTACATAATAATGATGTTCTACGCGAATCGGTCTTCTGGATCAGTTTAATGAATGCCTTGAGGATGTGTGTGTGTGTGTGTATGTGTGTAATTGTATCCTTGTCACGACACGAGTTCATGATTAGCCATTTTATCACAAATAAACAACTAAATGTTAAATAAGGGTATGAACAAAATTAATTTAAAACTATATATTTAAAATTAACGAACACAAATTTTATTGCAAATTAATTTGATAAGATTATTTTAAATGATATAAAATATAATATAGATCTCTCTTAGTTTGGTTTATTTATCAGTTTGAGAATACAATTCTGAATCTTTGCGATTGCATCTTTAAGATCACTTTATAAGATAGCCGTTGATGACCATCATGCATTGTAATGTATTTACATTTTCACGTTCTTATTCGAATAATGCATTATCTATGTTTTTACGTTTATATATTGAATAATGGTCACATCCATAACGATATTGTACACACATAATGATGAATTTTATTATATATATTTTTACAATTACTGTCTAAATCATATCATGTGTTTCGTCAAGTTGTTTTTCAAGTGAGTCGTTGATTTTAAATTGTATCAAATTTAACATTGAGAATGACCCAATTAGGGTCGAAACGTTTGTAATAAACTTTTATTTTTCAATAACACAGCATTAAGACCTGACTTGGGTTGTAGCCCTATACTTATTACTTACTTTAATATCTATATATTCGTTTCTGATTTTGTGAATCCACAAAATCAGAATATTGATTTGGAATCTTTTTAATGGAAATATTGGAAAATTAAAAACGTTCAGTTCACTAAGAACTTTTTATGCATACTTTTAGCCTAATAAAACAACATTCTCAAAATTTTTTTAATAACTTCTCCACAAACTTCTATTTATTTATGCGTTATTTAAAGTTAACTTTAATTAGATTTTAATTATACGTTGAGAATCAAAAACTTTAATTATAAAATCGTAAAATTATAAAATTTTATTTTTTTTTATTTTATTATGAACTTTAGGATGATAAGACCACAATTTCATAATCTGTATCGTTTCTTTGGCAAACCGACTTCAGCACTGTATAAAACCTTTCACACTAAGCAAGATACAAGGGAGAGGCTATCTTTTTCCCGTAGCGCACGCGCTGCTTTCAGTATAAATTATAAAGCTAAAGGTCACCGGACGCGCTTCTTCGAGACAGGATTATCAAACACAGATGCCGTCGCGAACAGTTACGGCTATTTAATTCGTTAGTCAGAAGTGCCAGTTGAATCTGATGAAATGAAACATGCACCTTTGAACTCATTAATGAGACTATATCTCGACTTGCAGGTGCCAGATTATCCATACATTAAAAAATTAAAAAAACTTATTGTTACAGAAAAACATTTTTTGTTGTAATATAACAAAGAATTTAAATATGAAATATGTAGCACACTAAATATACCAAGTATAAAAATTAAATAAGAAAAGAAATGAGAAATTAAATATAAAAATAAAAACAACATACTAAATATTTAATTTTATAAATATCAAACAATAAAATCCAATACAATAAATATATAAAATCTACATTAAAAAGCGTTTATAATAGTTAATGCTTAATTGTTTAAAATGAAGCACGTGCTTTGTAATATAAAAATTTACATATACACATATATATATATATATTAATGGGACGCACGCATAATTGTAGCAAATAGCACTATTTGCATCATCAAACGTTAATCAATGAAAAGACGATACACTATATTCTATGCTCGCAAACCTTTCACGATCATCATCGTCATATTACATAGCGCCTTGTGGCCGAGATGCGTTATGTAAGATCACCGTTGGTGAAGCGTGAGATTATCCCACGGAGATGATCTTCGATACATTATGATATACATTACGATTGCATACGTGAATGCTTGTCTAATTAAGTAAATAAAGTGATTTTTATTTACTTTTTTTATCAACGATCCTTGGCGCGATAATTATCTAGGAAGCTTTAATGCAAAAAATATTTCTAATGATAGTTATCGTTAATCAAATATACATGTAAATGTAATCAAGTTAGTTTTTATCATAAACATAGTAAATACATCGAATATGTCGTACGTGTGAGAGAAAAAAACAGCTCAAATCTTTTTTTTCTCTTTAATAGATAGAGAATTATCTTCTAACAGAAAATAAAAGAAATCTGAGTTGTGTTTTTTCTCTCTTTCTCATTTACGAGCTACCATTGTTTGGTCGTAATGGTATGCTTGATCTGTACCGTGTCTACGGTGAAATTTTAATAAAAGTTGTGTTACAGTGGAAGCTGCTGTGGGCGGCCCTTCTGGTGGCCGTGCTCTCCACGTGTCATACAGATGCAAAGAGAAGCAAACGTGCAATAGAAAACAGCCCACAGTCCCAGGGTTATTTCTATGAGCCACCCTCTAAACCTTTCACTTTACCCCCTCCGTAAGTAGTAAAAAATCTGAAAATCCTAAAAATACTTATATACGTATAAATATCACTTTTGATACATATACAGAGAAAAGTCGCTACTAATAGATCTTTTAAAGACACATTCTTTATCTTGTTGTTTAAATTATAAAAAAGTTAATTACTTCAAATTCGACACAATATTATTATATAATAATTATTATATTATCTGATAGAAAACACTTTCTTATTTGTGTTTCTAAAGTTTTATTTTTAAGAAATATCCAGAAATAAGATGGTATGATATCGGAGACTGTCCTCTATCAATCCGATTAGATTTGTCTTTAAAAAATTTTATTTGTGATCAAACTATATTTATGTAATAATAAGTAATAATTTCTCATCAAACACATATCTATGATTACGTTGACAGAGTGACGTCACAGACAAGCATAATAACATTTAGGCCAACTACGGTGACATTACCACCATATACTTATACTCCAAGAGTTCAGACAACGGTAAGACCACCACCATCACCACCACCAAGAACTCCACCGCCACCACCAAGAACATCAACATATGTGGTGACAGGATATACATATACAACTCCGAGAACTCCATTCCCGACACCACCAAGAACACCACCACCACCACCAAGAACTCCACCGCCACCACCAAGAACTCCACCGCCACCACCAAGAACTCCACCGCCACCACCAAGAACATCAACATATGTGGTGACAGGATATACATATACAACTCCGAGAACTCCATTCCCGACACCACCAAGAACACCACCACCACCACCAAGAACTCCACCGCCACCACCAAGAACTCCCCCGCCACCACCAAGAACTCCACCGCCACCACCAAGAACTCCACCGCCACCACCAAGAACTCCCCCGCCACCACCAAGAACTCCACCGCCACCACCAAGAACTCCCCCGCCACCACCAAGAACTCCACCGCCACCACCAAGAACTCCACCGCCACCACCAAGAACTCCCCCGCCACCACCAAGAACATCAACATATGTGGTGACAGGATATACATATACAACTCCGAGAACTCCATTCCCGACACCGCCTAGAACACCACCACCGCCGCCTAGAACACCACCACCGCCGCCAAGAACACCACCTCCAGTAACAAGCGGAGGATATGTTTATACAAATCCAAGTACAGAATTTACATTGCCACCGAGAACATCGCCACCAAGAACCGTGCCGCCACCAACTCCTCCACCGCGAACACCACCACCTGTGAAAATTCCACCACCATACACAAGGCCCCCATACACACCACCTCCACAAACTCTTCCACCGAGAACGCAGCCACCATACACAAGGCCCCCATACACACCACCTCCACAAACTCTTCCACCGAGAACGCAGCCACCATACACAAGGCCCCCATACACACCACCTCCACAAACTCTTCCACCGAGAACGCAGCCACCATACACAAGGCCCCCATACACAGTACCTCCACAAACTCCTCCACCGAGAACACCACCACCATACACAAGGCCCCCATACATACCACCTCCACAAACTCCTCCACCGCGAACACCGCCACCATATTTACCACCTGTGAAGACTCCACCACCAAGAACGCCGCCACCATACACGAGGCCCCCATATACTCCTCCTCCGCAAACTCCTCCACCAAGAACGCCGCCACCATACACGAGGCCCCCATATACACCTCCTCCGCAAACTCCTCCACCAAGAACGCCGCCACCATACACAAGACCTCCATATACACCACCTCCGCAAACTCCTCCACCGAGAACACAACCTCCGTATTTACCACCTCCACAAACTCCTCCACCAAGAACACCGCCACCGTATACTCCACCCCCACAAACTCCTCCACCAAGAACGCCGCCACCGTATACTCCACCTCGACAAACTCCTCCACCGAGAACGCCGCCACCGTATACTCCACCTCCACAAACTCCCCCACCGAGAACGCCGCCACCGCATACTCCACCTCCACAAACTCCTCCACCAAGAACACCGCCACCGTATATTCCACCTCCTCAAACTCCTCCACCAAGAACACCACCTCCAAGAACACCACCACCTCCTCCACCTCCACCTAAAACCGCACCTTCTTATTTGCCTCCACTTCCAACTAGACCTTCTTATGTACCACCAAGGACAACAACACAAAGACCTATAGAATATGAAGCTGGATCATTCATTACTGAATTTGGAAGGTATACTACGAAAACATCTACTCGTTTTACTACAAGGCCTACGCCAAGAATTACTACACAATATATTACTCGACCTACTCCTCAAATAAGCACGCGAGTCACTGCTCAGCCATCTACTTACCTTCCGCCTTTCTCTGAGTCCACCAGATATACTCCAACTGTACCTACGATTCCTACGACCAGATATACTCCATCAACGACTAGATACACTCCACCCACGACTAGATACACTCCACCCACGACCAGATACACTCCCCCCACGACCAGATACACTCCTCCAACTACAAGATATACTCCACCTATAAGAACAACATTTTCGACTAGCACATATAGTCAGACTACGCCCGTCTATTCGTCAACCACTCCGTCAACCTTTACTCCAACTCGACCACCACCGTATCTTCCGCCGTCAACACCAAGACCAGTATATCCAACTGTGACGCCGCCGCCACCACCTGAACCTATTTACAGCATTACACCCAGCACGCCAACTTTGCCGCCACCAACCGGAAGGCCTGCACCACCTCCAACACTGCCGCCTACAACACCGAGGCCAACTTTAGGATACAATTACCCGATTCCCAATATTCCGTTTGAAACTCGCAAACGATGAAAATAACATGGGCTGACATGAGCAGCTTGCAGTGCGTTACCGAAATCTTAAATATTAGTATGCATAATATTAATATTAGCAAAGATTATTTAATAGCCGATATAGGTAACGCTGAATCCTTCGCCACATTTAGAGAGTATTACCTTTTTTATATATCGATCATTTTCGCTACACTATTTTTTCTAAATAAGAATTTAGTCGGCCAACGTACGAATCATTTTATATATATAATGTAAAGATGTCTCTTTACATATATAATAAATAAAAAAGAAATAAAAATTCGTAGAAGAATGTATTTACATACCTTTCCTTTAACGTAAAATGTGTTTTTATTTTGATAGACACATCGAAATTATTCCCAAATGAAATAATTTCCATTGCGTATTTTACATTTTATAAAATTCAGCGATGCATTTAATGTGAAAATAAGGTATATAAAATATATACATATACACACACACACACACACACACACACACATACGCACACACACAGGATTGTATATCAATGAGAAGCATACACATTTGTACATTTGAAAGCGTAATTATAATATATATACATATACAAAAATTATAATTGCATAGTTTTATTTCGTTTCTTAAATAAATTAATAAATTAACATACATCACGGAAGCATTAAAATATATTTAATCATAAAAATATTTTATTTGACAAATATGGTTTAAAAGTTTGATGTACACTACAGTTTGGAAACACTATAAATTAAAAAAATTGACATTTATAGGATTATTTTCTTAAATATTCATAAAAATATTTTTTTAACAATAATCCTTTAAGTTTAATAACATTGAATATAAAGAATTATTTTATTATTAAATAAATCAATTAAAAAGTGTTTCCAAACTTTTAGTGTATTTAAAACTATTACAGTGTCACAGTCGATATTTAATTATAGACTTTTTCATGATAATTACAAATATTTTTCTTTTAAAGAATATATTAATCAATACACAATAATGAATCAGTTTTTTCAAAGGAAAATTTTGATTTATAACTCGCAGCGATTTACAGTAAATTTCTATAGATTTATACACGTAAGTACCTATTCCGTATAACAAACATATTAAAATCCTCGCTGCAAATGTCCGACCGTTTGTATTATTCCTGATATTTGTGTATAGATACTTGTGACAAAAGTGCATATCACGGGCAAGAAATTACGATGTCGCTTTGATGAATGAGTGGACGAAAATGGAACGTTAGTAACGTATTTAGCAGGTCAAGCATTGGAACGGTGAGAGATTTTCCTTGCATGTATGCTCCGGTGGCACTCGAGTCCTGGCATCGAAATAAGTAGCCCATAACCACCTGTCTTCTACTTACCATAACGAGCCTCCCCCACAAACAAAGGAAATCTCCACGGCACTGATAGAATCACTAAGTGAAAACTGCGTGTGAGAAATGCTTGATCGTTAGTTGCGTGGGGAGCAGCGAAAGAGTAACGTCGTGTGCTCTATATAGTTTGAAATAGCAAATTATTGGGTTAAAAAAGTCTAAGTCGGACCTAAAATAGTATCATCGGGCTAAAACAATCTTCTTCCTCGTTTATCAAAATAATCATTGTCGACGAACACTTGTCGATCGTTCGCGTTTACAATTGATCGCAATGGCAAGGTGAAACAAATCGACAATTCGAGGCATGTCAACGGTAAGCTGATTAATTAAGCTCAGTATCGTCCTAATGTGTAATCGTAAAGGATATCAGTCACCAGACTTCTCAGAAGGCGATGCTTGAAACTAGCAGGAGATCCGCTATAAGTACATCTGAGCTAGGACTTTATTCTGATCGCGGTGATCGATATAATAGGAGTCATTACGGTTTAATTGTGAGAAAACTTGCGATCGGAGTTATGGTGGTGGTAACGGTAATACTGGTGAGTAATTGAGTGTGCAGAATTATTTATTAATTATTTATTACATTTGTCAAATGTTAAAAAATATTTTAGGACATAATTGAAGCTTATAACTGAATTTATAATCGGAGCTCACAACTAAAGCGAAAAAATTAAAGTAGAAAAATTAAAAAGTAGAAAAATTAAAAAAGAACATAATCAGTATTGCCATAATTACATGACAAATAATTTTAATGTATTTATTGAGTATCTTTAAGTTTTTTCTTACATATTTTGATAATCAATATATCTTTTTTCGTTATATAAATATGGATTTATTCCTTGGATACATCTGTCGTGGCATAATAATATTCCTGATTAATAAGAAAGCATTAATATAATATTACAAATACCTTGTTAACATTTTGGCTGCATGCCACTTGGCGCTTGCAACGATCTTGAAATCATTCCATTTTTGTTGTTTATCAAATGTTAATCAAAAACAAATAATGCTTGCGAGCGTTGCGAGCATCAAATGGGACGCACATAAGTTAACCGTATTTGAATGATACGTAAAATTGATGGCCTCGTCATTGATTTGTGAATGAAAGAGAGAGACAGTTTTTATATGAGAGAGAGATGATTTTACTAAATATTTAAAACATTGAATAAACAATATAAATTATATTAAATAAAACATTAACATTAATGAAATAATTAAAATAATACACTAGATTTATTCAGTTTAATGCCAAAATCAATTGGATAATCAAAGTATTAAGGTAGTTAAATCTTCAGGATTAGAAATATAAAATAATGAGTTACAACTGAATAGATAAAGCGATGTACCTATCTACATATATTATTCATCTCCGTTCATATCTCACAATCGATGATTTCGCTACATGTTCGCTATCGTACAACTTGTGTCGGATGATGACCTTGCACATCGAAAAGTCTGTTGATTCGTGAAGCATCCTGTTTCGCACGATTTTGTTACACGTGTCTCTGAGATGACGATAATCAAACGGTACGGAGTTTTTCGCAAGTTTCTTTCACGTGCGAAGAACAATAGGCATAATTATAGTTTGCGCGTTTTCTCCGGTGATTAATGTTGAAGACGTGTGTGGAATTGTAATTTCACCGTGAATCTTTGGGTATCCCTTCTATGCATGGGGAGTCAAGCGAGCGAAGATTTCTACACGCTTCACATATAGGGCGTTAACTGTGTTTCGGTTAACAGATTAACCATCGTCTGCCAGTTGGGAACATGGATTAATTGCACCTTTGTTGTTTCAAAAGATGTATATGTAAATATTATTCACTGATTTATAAATTATTAATTGTACAATTGTACAATTTCGCCTTGCAATCATTCATTTTCTTTCTACAGTGAAACTGGACATTAAATTTTTCAATGTCAATTAAGAACTAGCATTGTGCTGCTTTCAAAAGTAGCGTAATGTTAACGTTTAGTTAACTAAATTTTTACAAAACGAGCTAAACTTTATTTTATCTAACAGATATTAAAAACAATAATTTTATTAAAATGACTTGGTATTATTAAAAAAAAATATTTTATGTTTATATTAAAACAGATTATTATTAAAATGTTTGTATTAAATTTTTAATACCTGAATGTTAATTTATCATGATATTGTATTATTTGAACATTTTGTGTTAAATTAATATTCAACATTTTTACATTTTTTGTTTTAATTTTTTTAAACAAAATTTTTAAAACAAAATTTTTTTATATGATATTTGTGTTATTTTCTAACATAGTTATCTTAAGTTGAATTAATACAATTTGAATAAACCATTTAGTTTAATATCATCGTAGGTGGCGATATTTATGTACGATTTTACGTCCGCCACGACGGGAAACAGTAAAATCAATCAGGAAACAAAACATATATACATACTACAGAATGCTCTCAAGAAATCACCAAGTCTCTCAAAAAAGCCTATTAACTCCACGAATTTATACGAAGCCATAGTTAATCGTAGCGATCTTTTAATGGAAGATCGTTCGGACGATGAGAACTACGAAAATCTCATTCAACGGAATACAACAGGCGATATAATACCACCCGAGACACGCATTATGACAGCGAATGGGCCCGAGATGAGAACGCAGAATCTGCACAATTTTAAGCAACGGAAGAGAGTGCTGAAATCCATAGAAGATGCCAATGAAAATGAGGAATCCGAGTCCAAGCAATTGTTCGATAATCATGCGATCGTTTATCGTGTGAGACAGAGGTGAACTACATATCATCGTGTAAAAGAAAAGTTTTCAATAGATGTGATTGTAATAATTTATAGTCATTTTCGGGGACAGTCATCTATTCTTTTTGGTATATAAATCTATATAGCATAGAAGTTTGCAGCAACATTTGAAATGCGTATTGCTGGAATGTTAAAATGCTGCTGTAATATTGCTGAAACGATCTGTGCTGTATAGAGAATTATAAATGTAATTGTTATCTCTAAGAAAAATTTAATACTGTAAATATTAAATTGGATGATGGTCGTTTATTTTTAATATTAAAAGCACTAATGTTATTAATATTTATTTAATGCTTTTAATATTTCAAATAAGTAATTAATTACTAACCAATTCAATACTTATAATAGTATTAAATTTCTCTAAAAAGAAATTACTAACATTATAACAACAAAAATATAAAAAAATAATGCTTCTAGTCATAACTATTTTATCACACAATTATAGTCATAAATATTAAAAACTTGTCTCTCGGTATGATTAATTTCAACGACCTTTTACCTTAATGGCATAGTCAATTTCTTTGAATCGTCATTCATCAAAATCAATTATTAAGAGCCGAAAATTTTTTTTTTTACTTAACAATAGGCAACGATTTGTAAGTATCCATTTGACAAAATATTATGACCTTCACAATGCGAAAGAATTAGCATATCGCGCAAATGGATGTTATATTGATGGCTCAATTCTCCCATCAATAAATCCGAAAATATGAATATCATTGACATCATTTTTATGATGATATACAGGGAATACTTTCTACGTTAAGTAACATCGTGTCATTGCGCGCCAAGTTGATTTTATATATAAATTGCACGTGCACAGACTCTCTCACCGACAGCATCGTTCACCACTCGCTTACATTTCATCGTGACGTGTAAAGAAAGAGAGAGCCGATCATAATGATATCGCAAAAATTTATATAACGCGTCAGGTAATTTTTACGCACCGGTCAGATTGACATGGGTAGTTCTTCATCAATTTGGCAGATACAAACATCCGGATATGGATGAGATTGTGAGCACGGAGGAGCTGGCGCGACCTACGCCGTTTCACTGGGAATTC